ATTGAAATTACGTAAGGTTAATTTTTTGTAAGTTTATGCTATAGGGCAATGATCAACATGATCAAATTGGTATGGTCTCCACAGCTTCCTTCTTATGGTTGGGGCAACCCAGCACATTGGCCCCAAACCATTCCCAACTGAGTTACAGTGACGTATGTATGAAGTGAAGACGAATCTCAAATGATTCAATGAGGTGTGGTCCGTCTCAGTGCGCCCCCTTTGGCGTCATCAAAGAACCCTCCGCCCATGAAGCCCTTGATCATCGTCGGGATCACCCCTATTCGACGAAGACAAAAACAACATAGACGTCTCCCATGGGAATAGAGGCGTCTCTGCAGGGCAGCGATGTACGTCTTGTGCACCACATCCATCGATATAACGTACCCAATCCCGATACAATACGGAGGGTAACTATCATCTTCGTCACCGAGTACGGCACGTAGAATTTGTCGTACACGTTCGAATGATGTCGAAGTTGAAGGCGGCTTTGCCGGCGACGAAATTCCTTGAGGGCGCTGTTCGGAGGTACACCAACATCTTCATGGTATTCACAGCCATGTCGTCGTCTGTCTTCATAACGAACTTGGCGTTCTGGCAGTACCTACTGGCCCACTTTATTCCCATCACGGTCTTGATCGTGAGGTTGAGGTAGGAATCGATGAAATCCTCTTGCACGATGTCGCCGTAGTTGACGAGCTCACGCCTGAGGTCATCGGTGACTTGCCTGTTGGACACAGCACCAATCAGGAAGACTGTTTCGAGATGCATGGCGGTGCTCCGTGCTGCCATACCCACGTCCGTCTTATCGCGTCGCGCCGATCGAAATTCTTCGGCGCCGAGGCAACAATCATCAGTAGAGATATACGCTTATAGGTCCCTTCGTCTGTCATGCATTTTCCTTTGATTTAAGATGTACTGTACTCGTGTAAATCTATATACGACTTCCAAACTGTTGAATTTAACATTCCAGGTGTTTTTATCATCTTAGCCCTCTTCAACTTTTCTCGATGCGGTCGATCTGGTCGTACCATCTGTTCGTATCCACGCCTAGTTCTCTGGATTCGTCTGTTTCTTTGAATTCCTTAGCAAAATCAAGCATAGGTCCCAGATATGTTTCATCGGTCGGTAACACATGTGGCTTGGTAACCAAGACCTTGGTTTCTCCTCGCTTGTTCTTGGCAACGACCGTGCCCTTCTTGGACGAGATGTTGTACTTCTTGTAGGCTTCTTCGTAGATGTTGATTCGTTGTGCCTTCGACATCGTGGGTAAAACTGAGATGACCTTTTCTTTTTTCTCCAGTTTCTCAGCAAGCTTGGCGTAAAACTCCCTCGCGATCTCGTCTATCTCTCCTGGGAGAAGTATTGAGGAATTTCTCATTAGCCTCTTGGAGGCATACTCATTGTTATTAACCCTCACTGGCATTATTCACATCCTGAACATTTAACTCGACAACGCCATGTTTCCAACTGTCAAGGGCCTCGTCTCGCGGCTGCCATTGATGCGAAGCAAGCGCAGAAATGCCATTTTTCTTTAGTTCATATAACCGCTCGAGTGGTACCCCCTCTTGGACCTTGCCATCCTGCTCCACCCCTTTGAGTTGCCTACTACTGCCGAAGCTGGTGGCGTGGTAGTTCTTCTGAAATAGGAGGTAGAACTGACAGAGAACCGTCACGGTCATCGACGAGATGATGAGGATAAAGAAGGACCGGACGATCTCCGTCATACGCATGGTCGTAACCCTGTTCGAAGTCCTCAACACTTTATAGCGACTTGGGCTGCTTCATGTGATGGAGTCATGTTGAGGGCGTGGAAGCAGAGGGTGGGGTACGTCTTCTCATCTATTCAATGTCAGACCTGAGAGCCTGTGGAGAGAATTAAGAGTGGAAAGTAATCCCAAAATAAAGTTGTCATGGTAGGCCTATATCATGTAGTATAATTTGTTGTTATCTGAGTTAAGTTTATTAGCATTGAATTTATGATGCACCTTCCATTGAACCTGTCGAACAATGTGTAACGTATATAAACATCAATGCAGGCGCGTACGCAGGGGGGGGTTAACTCCCCCCCCCCCCCCTTGAGGTTTTTTCTGTGTATGTCTTGTGTATGTTTTTTTGGAGGGAAAAAAAAAACCTTCTTGATTTTTTTTTATTTTTTATTTTTTAAATAATTAAAAAAAAAAACCTTACCCCCCCCCCCCCCAACGGAACAAAATGTCAAATTTTCAAATTTCGAGACCAAAAAAAAAAAAAAGTGTCCTCTTACCTATTATTCTTATCCGATCCTACAAGAACCAATGAACAGTGGTTACTGGAGCAACTCGCCGAAGGGGAATAAAATAAAATTGACCCTCAGAGAAAAGGCATAAAAATAGGTGTAATAGATCATTGGAGAATGCCTGTTAAGATTCATTGAGCACTTAAGGAACATTACATGTCGGCTTCTGACTGTATTACATAACTATGTTTAAAGGAGAGAAAGTTTCAGTTTGGAATTGAAACAAATTAATGATGAGATGTGATTTTAGTTCATTCCAATACTTTGGACCCGAAGAAGTAACAGTTTTCTTTGCAAATGATGTTCGAGTTCGTGGCAAATGAAAGAAGTTACATTGACGTGTGAGGTATATAGGGCCTATGGGTGGATAGCATTATTTTTAACAAACAGTAAAGAAGCAATCGCGGCTCAAACATTCATAGAATTTATTCTTTAAAAAAGAATTGCTAAATGAATCCAGCATTGTTGATACATCTGACGGCTCGTTTGATGACTATCTTTTCAAGTTAAATTTTGGTCCCATTCCCCTACGGAAAAATAACGTAATTGAGAATTAGAGTCAGTGGTATCCAAGGATAATAAGATTTTGGAATGGAACTCATGTTCGAGTTTATTTAAGGTACATGTTTAAGGTACCTGTTTAAGGTACAATTTACATACATGATTTACGTGTACCAGGCGCGGATCCAGGATTTCTTAGTCGCTCAGTGGGGGGGGGGGGGGGGGGGGGGGGGGGGGGGGGGGGGGGGGGGGGGGGGGGGGGGGGGGGGGGGGGTAGCGGGAAGCGGACACATTTTTTTTTTTTTGTCCTGGAAAATTTTAAAATTTGCACCCCCCCCCCTTGAGCGCCAGGGGGGGGGGGGCCCATTCCCCCAAAAGGTACAAATCGCGTGATTTTACATGATTTTTTCTCAAGGGAGGGGGGGGGGGGGGGGGGGCCGGGCCCCCCGGGCCCCCCTGGATCCGCCACTGGTACTTTCCATGACAAGTCACTGTCATGTAGATACCATGAAACTTAGTAGATTCAACATGAATTCCTTGTAAGGATTTGATAGAACTAATGAACAACACAAGGGGTCCGTTGCATAAAAACTTACCATTGATGGTAACTTTGCCATTAATGGCAACTACCATGGTAACAGGGCTCAACAAGCCAATCAAAATCAAGGTTTTCCATGGTAGTTACCGTTGACGCAAAGTTACCATCAATGGTAAGTTTTGTGCAACGGGGCCAAGGTCTTTATAATATTCAAATGATTTGTTTGTACTTTCCCAAGCTTGGACCAGTTTCAGTTCGTCGACCACAATTTCTCATTTCCAGATATGGGTAGTTTCTTATATTTTCGACAATGAACACATATCGACTGTGAGAACTTAGATACCAAATAAATTCCAAACTATTGGGAGTTTTGTATGAATTTATCCACCGTAAAAAAATCGGGCCATTTTCGATGTTGACTTTCTAAATAATAATTATTGTCAAAGAGCAGCCGTACAAGTCGTGGTTAGGGCAAGTTAATTCTTCTGTTTGATTTGAGTACACAGTAATTGCACTTTGTATACAAATAAAAATACAAGGTCAATCTGGGTAGGAGAGATTCTGATTAAATGATATCTTGACGCAATGGGGTTTGTGAGAGGGTTACTGAATAGTTGATCATCTGCTAGCAAAGCGTGATCGTCACAGGGAACGTCGAGGTCGTGACATCCAGTAACGTCCTGGTCATCATCCTTTCGTAGCTCAATTTGATTGGAAGTTCCTTATTGGACGAGGAGCATCGATATTGGTGAGGATTAGGTAAGTAAGTGGTTCATTTTGTCTGCTTGTTTCATGAATCACCTTTGAGTGATTCTGTGATTACAGTAGTTTAGTTTTCGAATGAAAGTTCAAATACATATCGACATAAAATATACCCAAATGTATAGAATTGAAATATGTTGGTTAGCTCCGCTGATGATTTTGTTTTTACCGACTTCTCTAAAAGCAAGTATTTCCGTGTAGGTAATAAGAAACCAGAAGGACCTACGGTTTTACATCATGTCCAAGGGACTTATATCAAAGGGTAGGCCTACTTACCCTGATAGCAGAGACTGGTAAATATCACGTCATATTTACGTCTTGTACTACGTCTTTAAGACGACATAACACGACGTCAAAAACATGATTTTGCACCCGCGCACGTCGTCACGAGGACGTCATATTTTGACGTGATTTTTACGTCTTATTAGTCAAAGAAAGACGTCTTTAAGACGTCAACTTGTACTATAGGAAGACGTCATATGGACGTCATATTTACGTCTTTTAGTTAAAGAAAGACGTCTTTAAGACGACGTAACACGACGTCAAAAAGACTTGATTTTGCACCCGCGCACGTCGTCACGAGGACGTCATATTTTGACGTGATTTTTACGTCTTATTAGTCAAAGAAAGACGTCTTTAAGACGTCAAGTTGTACTATAGGAAGACGTCATATGGACGTCATATTTACGTCTTTTAGTTAAAGAAAGACGTCTTTAAGACGACATAACACGACGTCAAAAAGACTTGATTTTGCACCCGCGCACGTCGTCACGAGGACGTTATATTTTGACGTGATTTTTACGTCTTATTAGTTAAAGAAAGACGTCTTTAAGACGTCAACTTGTGCCATAGAAAGACGTTGTATGGACGTCATATTTACGTCTTTTTAGTAAAAAAAAGACGTCAACTTGTACCATAGGAAGACGTCGTATGGACGTCATATTTTGTCGTGATTTTAACGTCTTATTAGTCAAAGAAAGACGTCTTTAAGACGTCAACTTGTACCATATAAAGACGTTGTATGGACGTCATATTTTCTTTTTAGGTCTTATTGGTTAAATAAAGACGTCTTTAAGACGTCAACTTTCACCCAAGAAAGACCTGTATATGTTGTATGGACATCAAATTTTGACGTGATATTTACACCTTACTGGTCATTTCGATGTACCTTTTATCCTTACATGATCTTTACGTCTTTGTTGTCCTCTAAATAACATCTATACGACCACCTGATCAAGGAAGAAAGTGTAAAAGTCACTTCATGTACACATTCTGAACAATCACACATAAAATCAAAGCAACAAATATTGCATCACATAATATATATATACATGCCAAACAGAAAGTAATTTTCATATTTTTAATGTACACGTATATGGTATGAAAATGGATAACAAAATATAAAATACGTATTTCTATACCTTCTTATTCTATCTAACTTTGTTTTCCATTGGTACAAAATCTTTTCATCACTATCCTGACACTTCTTCCAAAACATGCTGTATAAATACCTAGTGTATTTCTGTCAGTCTCATAATTTATTTTAAGAAAGTTAACAGGCCATCACAAAGATATCTGTTTCGTTATAAATGTGCTACAAGAAACTATGACATATTGGCTAAACTTATAAGTCTTACGGTTGTGGGAAGCAGGTTAGCAGCATAGAGACTAGGTAAAGCTATACTGATACCCGCAGTATTTTAGTAGACAAGCAAACAGCACACTGGGGAAGTTCCTCATATTCAGCAAAACAGCATAGTGGAAAGCTAGGCATTCATCAGTGCAGCTCTACCTCCTCGTCTCCATGCTGCAAAACCGCTCCTGACAACCCCAAGACTTTAATGCAGATAAAGACTATCACATAAAACAAAAGGTTGTTGGAAAGAATTTCTGAGCATGAAAGATCAATTCTTGTTACATACAAGGGGAATATCTAAGTTCATGGCAAGAATTCAGTATAAAGTATAAAACTATACAATCTAAATCACACACAGGAGAAAAATGGCACAAATGATAAACACATGGCTTAGCTAAGTTATTTCTTACACTCAAAGGAACAAGTTGGCAGCAAGGGGAACAGGGAGAGCTTCACTGATACCTGCAGAGTTTTCTGATGATGGTTGCTTGCCCGTCAAAACCATGATGTTCACATTTGGCGATACAGCATATTAGAAAACTGTGCAGAAATCAGCTCAACTGTACCTATTCTCTCTGTGCTAGAAACCTGCTTCTTACGGGCACATGACTTAAATATAAGAAAAGGCATTAGTGGCAACATTCATCTTTATAAATATCAAAAAATTAGTTTTGTTGCAAATACAGAAGCTGAAGTTCCAGTATAAAATACAATTTATATCAGATAACATTCCCGCCAGTACGATTGGCTCAGTTGGGCAATTCCAAGGTGACGGTGGAATAATTATTCAGAAGATATTTCCCAGTTTAAGATAAAATAGCAAACATGCTGAAAAAGTTTAGCACAAAGAGATATATTCCATTGCTAATGTCACAACATTCATTTGGCAAGTCCCAGGAGTTTCACAAAAGAATTAAAATTTAACTTAAATTTTAACAGCAAATTCAATATACATGTAGGTAAGCCATATTGTGCTTTCAAAATCACAGATACAATCCAAGAATTTTATACTTTTAACTACCAATTTTTTTTCAAACCACAAGGTATTTATGGTTTTCATTGAAGGCGCTACTGTGTGTCACTCTTTAACAGTTAATTCTCCCAACAAAATTTTCAATTTTCCCCAACCGTTTTTCCATGAAAATACGATA